GTCAGTGTTTGACACGGCTCAGGAAAAGGGGCAATACAGTATGATGTTACTGATGGGAATAACTAAAAATGAACCTCTCTTTCTTCTCTTCTTTACTTCTCCCGTCACTCCATCTAAACTTAGAACAATCTGAACGTTTAAACTCTCTCCATTTCACTTGTACATGAGGCTGCTGAGGGGTGAAACTCAGAGAATGGAAACAGATTCTACTCCTGAATGCAGCCTCCAACACATTTTCCAGAACAATGCCCCAACAGTGCATCACTCATTTTTACTACTTGCTTTTTATAGCAATGCTCCCTCCCACAAGTTTAGGAATGCAGAAAGCACGAATGGCTGTATTCAGTAGAACTGCCGGAAACAAAACAGCAACAATTCATCCCTCACAGTTTGTGCTGGACAAAGAAAGAAAGCTGCAATAATTCTGTCCAATGACATGAAATCTGTGGGCTAGTGAATTTCCCAGAGGGGGCAAGGGTAGATTTTCCAGTTCAAGGGCACAGTACAGTGAGGCTGAAGTTGAAGTCTTAGAAACATTATTAATAGAAACAAATCATTGTCAGCAGCAAAATTATCTTTTAAAACGCCATGGCAAATGGATGAGGTGTCCGGAAAACTCAGAATGCAATGATAATGCTCAGGGACACTTCCCTGTCTCATCTATATCTCCAAGCAATGGGTTGGATTCTACCTTGGCTATCTTTCAACCTCTTTTATTGATAACTGTTTGACTTCTAAATTTTGCTGTTGCTTTTATGCCACCTCCAACGAATATTTGGGGAATATGAGCCAAAGAGAAGGTCCTGGGAATTAACTTTAAGCTGCCTAATGAATTTAAGACATAATGACCTCTACAAAACCTTCATAAATTCTCCTCTTAATCAACTTTGTGCATTACAACAATGACAACACTTTCAAAAATGTACTTCATTGACTGTAAGTAACTATGGGAGGGCCCAAGATCGTGAAAAGTGTTACAAAGGTTCCTTGAAGGTCCCTAAATGCGTGACCATCTCCCAGATCTGTGTCCATCTTTCTTGCAACTCCCACATTTTAATCCCTCCAATTCAACATTTGCCCCGGTACTGTACTGAAATGACTCTTTCCAAAAGTCACAAATGATATCCTATGCTATTGTAACAAAGATAATTTGTCCTTTCAAGACCAGTTGGCAGCTTTTGATTTCACCATCCTCTTCCAACTTGCCTCCACTGTCTTCCACCTGAGTGGAACTACTCTTTCACGCTTCAATCCTTCTCCATTTAAGTGCACCCGAGAACCATTTGCGGTGATTTTTCCTCTTGCATCTTTTCTATAATCTCTGGTGTACCCAAGTACCTATCCTTGGAACACCTCCAAATTCTCAACTGACATCTTTGAAAGTGACAGTTTTTGCATGTACACTGTTAACATGAAGATCTATTTCACCATCATTTCTCTCGATTTCTCCAGTGTTGAGTGCTGAATGATTAGAAATATCCTCCAATTAAATATTGGGAAGTTAGAAATCATTGCTTTTGAACTTTGGACTAAACTCCATTCCTAGACATCAGCTTCATTCCTCTCCCTGGGAACAAAGTTTGAAATGAAACTGGTCCAATTCTGAAAAAGAACTGCAGATGCTGGAAATCTGAAACAAAAACAGTTCTGAAAGAGGGTCAATGGACCTGAAACTTTAACACTTTCTCTCTCCACACATGCTGCCAAACCTGTTGAGTTTCTCCAGCAATCTCTGTTTTTGTTTCTGGTCTAATACTGGCTTTATTAGCATCTGAGCTCCAGACATGATGGACCAAAGGGCCTTTTTCCCATACAGTAAGAACTGTATGAAATTCTAATCACTCCACCATCAGTGGTTGAATCTTCCAATACCTAGGCCTAATCTCTGGAAATTCCTCTCTGCAGCTCCACCCTTCATTTTTCTCTATTTAAGACACTCCTTACCTCTTTGACCAAGTTTTTGACCACCTGACCTAATATGGCTATATTTGGCTCAATATATTTTGTTTTATAGTGATCGTGTGGGACGTTTTAATACATACAGGCATTGTATTTAGCCAAGTTTTTGCTCTTAACGCAAGTTTTCCCTATTGTCATACACCACAGCAGTAGAATGAATGAAGTTGTCCCCCAGTGGTAGCCTAGTTCCTGCTTGTTCAAGGTGGGTGGTTCACAACAGATCAGTGGTGACACTAACAGAGTATGGTCTGAATCCCTTCAGATTAAAACCAAGCGTCGTCTCAGCACAGTGTGTTATTGTGTTTTCAGCCTTCAGGCAGCACATATTTGTACATTCCCCGATAACCGTACAAACAAGCCCATATTTGGAGCTTCTGCAGCCAAATCAAACATCCAAACTCAAATTAAACAAAGCCTCCTCCATAAGAGTGGCTCCTCCAAGTCTGATTTAATATCTTTTAGCCAACTGTTCAGAAGATTTAGAGGTTTTCAGAAGAGTTGGAGCGCTAAGCCTGCCTGAACAGCAAAGCTATCAAGTGAAGCTGCGGAACAAATCCTCTCTGACTTTTTGTCTGACTTGAGCAACTGTCACAGCAACTATTTATAGATTTGAAGTGGACCTCATCCAACTAGCTATAGATAATTGGTGTGCTTGTTGGCTGACTTTTAAGCACGATATCCTAGGATCTCACTACGATAACAACAGAATTAGCAGTATTTTGAGAAGAAATATTTCCACAAAAGAATCCCAAGTTCCAAAGCACTCTTCTCAAGAGACAAGGCAATGAAAACATGGGCCAAAGTTTTCAGTGCTATGCTCCAAGGAAATGAGGTTCTTAGAAAGGGCAAACTGATTTACAGCCAGCCCACCATTCTATGGGAGAATGTCAGAGTGCAACAAGATGCAGTTGAATAGAAAACAATTTGGCCAAGTGAAATCCTGCTTAGGAGAGCTATTTCAGTCAGAGTTGTCTTTAATAAGCATCTCAAAACCCACTGGCACAAAGTCTAAGCCTCAGTGAAAACTTGCTTGAGTGTTAACTGGTTTGTTTAGATTCCTACACCTCACTGTCACTTATCACTGGGTTAAAAGCTATAAGCTTTTCATGACTCAACTGGGAGGATTGAAGTGCAGATTCTGCTATGACTGTAAACTGCCTTGAAAGGAGCAAGAGTAGGAACTTGAGTGTCCTACATAAAATGCCTGCCCTAATGACGGATACTTAGGAGATGCTTACTGTAATATAGGAATGATCTCAACCTTTCCATAAACTGTAGAATTTGAGTGCAATTCCGATTGCGACAGATAGTTAAAACTGGCTTTATCAAATTCACTTTTTTTTTTCGCAAGTCTCTTGTTTACAATTATATTAATTCTCATTAAGAGTCAAACTCCGAGGCCTGATCCAAGAGCAGTTGACTTATGTTTTTCCTTAAAGTTTTCATACACAACCCGAGCCTTTGTCTGCAGCTTTTCTCAGTTTGTCAAAGTCTTCCCTAGATCACAACTTTCCAGCTTTCAACTCCATACCAGAAATTACCTTCATAACTTCAGCTAATGCTTCAAGGTAGTACTGCATCTTCTAACCTGCCACCTTCGAGATAAGTTGTTGAATCAATAGTTGGGTTCTACTTTGTATTTCACCTGGAAACTAAGCTTCAGTTGCACATTTCTTTCATGAAATAACTATATGAACTAGTCATTCATCTCCTCTTCTTGTGAAAAATGACAACAATTACTGCAACTGAAAATTAATTCACTAACTCGTGTGAGATATTGCTTACATGCATAGGGTACGCCATGAATATTCCTAGTCTTTTTTTAAAGTTGGAGTTGTCCTTACCTCTGCCATCACTATAAATGAACGTTTGCAAACTTTTAAACAAATTTCCTCGGATGCTGACATTTTGTAATAATTACAGAGAAACCCTGGAGAAATCCAGTGCATCTGCCTTACTCTTCACTGGTCCAACTGTGCAGCGAAAGAAGAGCTAACTGTTGATAACTAACCCTGGACCTGTTATTGTAACAAGTGCTCTAATGGCCATAAGCTCTGGCAGCGTTAGTACACGTGAAGAAGCTTGTATATATGTTCAATAGGAACCACATAATGCAGATGCTGGAATTCTGAAATAAAAACCACGCAGTGCTGGAGAAACTGAACAGGTCTGGCAATATTGGTGGAGAGTCACAGAGGTGCATAGCGTGGAAACGGACCCTTCGGTCTAACCCGAACATGCCAACCAGATATCCTAAATTAATCTAGTCCTGTTTGCCAGCATTTGGTCCATATTCCTCTAAACCCTTCCTATTCAAGTACCCATCCAGATGCCTTTTAAACATTGTAACTGTACCAGCCTCCTCCACTTTCTCGGACAGTGCCTTTCATACACACACCACCCTTTGCATGAAAAAGTTGCCCCTTAGGTTCCTTTTCAATCTTTCCCCTCTCACCTTAAACCATGCCCTCTAGTTTTGGACTCCCCCAGCCCAGGGAAAAGACCTTGACTATTCACCCTATCCACGCCCCTCATGATTTAATAAGAGAAACAGAGTTAAAATTTCCAGTCCAATATGAGGATAGTCTGAACCATTAGATCAGACTCAAAACATTAACTTCATTTCTCTCTCCACAGATGTTGCCAGACCTGAAACTGAGTTTTTCCAGTATTTTCGGTTTTTATTTGTATGTACGTAGCTTTTGTTAACAGGATGATCATGACCAAAAGTGAGTCCGAAAACGTGTTAATAAAATCTCAAAGTCCACCAACATAAACATAGATCTCATTGAAAACGTCTTGAAGAACAAAATGGATTTGTCTCTCACATTACTGAGTTGGAAGCGATAAACTCTTCACAAATCAAGTATAAGAATCAGTTGCATCAAATACGGATTATTCAAAGAAAACTAACCAGAATCTTTCAGTTCTCAAATGGTGCAGATATGCATGTAAACATAATGGAAAGGCAATTTTTTTCCAAGGAAAATGGATCCGTGTAGCAAAGTTATTTCTTATAAATCTTGTGTGTTGTTACTCACCTCATGAGAGTTGGTGCCATGTGCCACTCTGGTTTTGCAAACTATGAAGAGAAACAGGGTATCATTAAAACGTATGGAGTGGCCAAGAGAACAGCCTGAGAAATTGCTCCCATACCTCACCCTCTGAACTAGTTTTTAAAATAATGTAGGTTTAATTGCAGAAACAATGACCATTGTGCCAATCAAAGCATCAAACTTTGGTCCAACAATATCTTAGCTGTCCAACATCTGGCTATGCAGAACTAGCACACGTGGCTGTAAATTGTAGAAATAACTCAAACACACAAGAAACAGGCCATTCAGCCAAAACAGACAGGTCTGGCATTTGCACTCCACTTGTGGCTCCTTTCATCTTGCCATCAACCATTAGAATCCTCCATCCCTTTGTCTCTCATATGTTTTTCTAGTTCCTGCCAAAAAGCATCTATACTATTCACTTCAATCATACAGCACATTCTCACCACTCTTTGGGGTGAAGAATTTTTTTTTTCCCCCCTTAATTCCCAATTGGATTCCTTGGTGACTACTTTGTAAGGTTGAGGAGGTGGGCAGCAGTTAACTCAGTTGGTTGGACTGCTAGTTTGCAGTACCAACTGACACCAACTCCACCAGTTCAATTGTTGCACCGGCTGTGATCCCCATGAAAGTTACACCTTCTCAACTTCACCCCTTGCCCGGGGCGTGATGATCCTCAGCTTAAACACACCACCCGTCGTCTCTCTTTAACAAAACAGCAGGATTATGACGACTTAACTCTTATTTTTGGTTTCTAATCATGCTGGTTTCTGCATCTGCTCTATCAAAACCACTCAAATTTTAAAAGACATCTTAAAAGTCATCCCGCAGCCTTTTTTTTTTAAAGTCTGGTTTTCCTTAATGAATGCCCACACATTTCTGTATTTCTATTTTCTATCCCCTCCCCAGTGCCTTATTATAATTATTTTTATAATACTGATTATGAGGGAGATAATATTGCACTATTCAAAGAAGTGAGGTATCAGAGGAATTTAGCTTCTGTGATCATACCAGAGGCCAGGGCTCCTTGGCACAGTGCCAGTCTGGCTGTACAAAACACCAAAATAAAAAATGGCAGGGGCGGGGTCATTGTGAACACACCCAAATTTTGCTGCACTTTCACAGTACATGCAAAAGTAAGTCGGTGAAGTATAAAACTAGGTGTGAATTTTTTTTTTTTTGATGTTTTGTTTACTTACGGAATACATCATTATTTGTTTTCCTGCTACATACTAACCGAATGTCCTAGCAGTCTACCATGATGTCTGTTCAAAATACTTAATCAATGAACACCCTTCAAGTGTTTATCTTTAATCACACAATTAACATAACATTGACAGGACGGAGAAACAAAAGAAAGTGCAGACGTGATCGGCTGAATAGGTTCCTGCTCCATAACAACTCTGTGGTTCTGGGAAGAGCGGATCAAGTTGAACTGTTTGGAATGAGGTCAGCCAGGTGGACCTCATACTATGAGTTCCCTGATTGGACCAGGTTAACAGCCCCAATCAGGGAGCCCTGGCTGACAGATATAAACAGGCGTGTCAGAGGTTCTGAGCTAACTGGGTCAGTGTCTTGTACCATGCACATGTAAATAAAGGGTGACTTGAAGATGGGATACCAGCCTTTGAGAAGTTATTTCACAAGTGCTCACTGGTTAAGCTCATATAATTCCTTTAGGATGTTTACTAATCAACCGGTTCAGAAATGTTATGGCACATCTCTGGAACAAGGAGGAATTGTACCTGGGTCTCTTAGCTCAGAGGTAGGGACGCTACCACTGTGCCACAAAAATCCCTCATAACTATTTTATAAACTGTTTTTGGATTAGAAACATCATCCAAATAATTGGTTAGTCACCGGGGACGTCAGGAGAAATATTGGGAAAATATTCTGCAACTTTTCAAAAGAAATATTTTTAAATTCTGGAAGGAATGATTTCTGACATTGCTATATGATGGTGGGACTGGAAAAAGGCAGGCAGCTACTTTTTTTGGCAGCTTGGCAAGTCCCCTTGCTGTATTGCTTCCAGAACAAAACAACAATTCATGTACTCCTCATGTAGGAGCTGACAGAAGAGGTTTATTACAATCACCAAACTCCACTTCAAACCAGTTATAGGAAATGTTTGAACTGATTTAAAAGCAAGGCTCACAGTAAGTCAGCAGTCGTTTCTTGTATTTTGCTTTAGCTTTTGAACACTTACTGAATGGGAATGTCAGCTTGTGCTTCGTGATCTCTGCCATAGTGTCCTCCCCACACTGACTGCTGAGCTCCATAAAGGGAGGGGAACAAATTCTCTCATCTGCAAAAGAAGAATCCACGGTTTTAGCAGAAAACGCTTGTAGAAGGGCCCAATCTTCAGCAAACCTTTCAGTAAAATCTTGCACCCAGTTTCATTACAGTTCAATCTGTTTGGAGAGAAAACTCAAGGCAAGATGTCACATCACTGATGTACATTGTGACAAAAGGAGGCTACATGGTGATTGGTCCTCCTTGGTTCCTTCGACATACTCTTTGCACAGTCATCAATACTACCACTCCTGTATGGTGCAGAAAATTGAAAGTTTGCAACTGATCAACCAGATGAACATTTGGATTTTGTAACAATTGTGGTAGTGCTCTAATGGGCAACAATACTGTTCAACAGTCAATCATATATAAATTAGGGGGCAACAGTAAGCCATTCAGCCCCTTGAGCTTGCAATGATATCCAATAAGTTATGGCTTATCCGATTGTGGCCTTAACTCTACATTTCGCCTACCCCCGATACTTTACAACCCCATTGCTCAACTAGAATCTACTTATGCCTTATAATTAATACTTAAGGATTCTGCTCTACAATCTTTTCAGGATGAGTCCTAAAGACTCCGAAAAGATTTCACTTCATCAGTTTTAAATGACAGACCATCCCCCTCCCCAATTTTTAAAGTGACCACAAGTTCTATCTTCTCCCAAAAAAGAGAAAATATCTTTTTCAAATTTCCAAATTTGCCCTGCCAAAACGCCTCAGAATCTTCTACGTTCCCGTTAAGTCGCCTCTTACTCTTCTAAATGCCAGCAGATTCAAGCAGAGTCTGCCAAAGCTTTCCTCATAAGGCATCCCTCTCTTTCAATTAGGACATATGCTGCATTTTAGAAAGGCAAATCAGGGCAGGACTTACAAACTTAATGGTAAGGTCCTGGGGAGTGTTGCTGAACAGAGACCTTGGAGTGCAGGTTCATAGTTCCTTGGAAGTGGAGTCGTAAGTAGATAGGATAGTGAAGGCAGGATTTGGTATGCTTGCCTTTATTGGTCAGTGCATTGAGTATAGGAGTTGGGAGGTCATGTTGTGGCTCTACAGTACATTGGTTAGGCAACTATTGGAATGCTGTGTGCAGTTCTGGTCTCCCCACTACTAGAAGGATGTTGTGAAACTTGAAAGGGTTCAGAAAAGATCAACAAGGATATTGCCAGGGTTGGAGGGTTTGAACTAAAAGGAGAGGCTGAATATACTGGGGCTATTTTCCCTAGAGTGTCAAGAGCTCAAGGGTGACCTCAGAGGTTTATAAAATCATGAGGGGCATAGATAAAGTGAATAGACAAGGTCTTTTCCCTGGGGCGGTGGAGTCCAAAACTACAGGGCATAGGTTTAAGGTGAGACAGGAAAAATTCAAAAGGGATCTAAGGGACAACTTTTTCACGCAGAGGGTGATGCATGTACGGAATGAGCTGCCAGTGGAAGTGATGGAGGCTGGTACAATTACAACATTTAAAAGGCATGGTCAGCATGGAGGAGTTGGACCGAAGGGTCTGTTTCCGTGTTGTATATCTCTATGACTCTATAATTGCGTATTAGTCTGATAAACCTTTCCTTAAAATCCCATTAATGCATTTAAATCCTTCCTCAAAGAAAGTGACCAATACTGCGCGCTCCAGATGTGGTCTGAACAGTACCCTGTAGAACTGAAGCACAAACTCTCTAGTTTTGTCTTCAAGTTCCTCTGCGATAAATGAAAACACTATTAGCTTTCCTTATGTACTGTACCTGCATACAAACCTTTTGCGATCTTTGCATAAGAACACCCAGATCCATTTGCATCTAGAGCTCTGCAAACTCTCACCATTTTAGATATTATGTTTCCTTTTTATTCTTCCTATCAAAATGGACAATTTCACATTTTCTTATACAGGTCGTTCTCCTATAATGCGATAGTTGTGTTCTTGTGTGACCTCGTGCCATTGAAAATTACATTAAAAGGGAAATCGCTATAGAAAATCACTACACCTGTGCAGCAAAAGTTCACGTTAACCAAACAGCATCCACTATTCATCAATCATGTTATAGTCAATTTGTGTTAACAAAACACGCGTTATAGCAGAACTACTTGTACTATACACCGTTTACCACATTTTGCTCAGAAATTTAACCCATCTACATCTTTTAGTAACAAAAATAGAAAAAATGCTGGAGAAACTCAGCAGGATCAGCAACATCTATGCAGAGAGAAACAACGTTAACATTTCAAGTCCTGTGAGGTTTGTCAGAAGTTATTTTACTTTGTATCTTCTTGTTGCCCCCTCTTCATAACTTGCTGATGACGCAAAGATAGGTTGAAAAGGGAAGTCTGGAAACCACATCTTCATCCCCTCATCTTAGTCATTAATGTAAAATTGCAAACAGTTGAAGTCCCGGAACAAGTCCCACTCGTTATATATCATGAACTTGAAAACTGACACATTTATGCCAATTCTCCACTTCCAGTTCCTTCCCTAAAGGGCATGCATGAACCAGGTGGTTTTATTTTTCCCCTGATAATTGGCAAAAGTTTCATAGCTATCATTAAACTTTTAATTCCCGAATTTTGAATTCAATTCAAAGTCCACCATTTGCCACTGCAGGAATTGAACCCAGGTCTCAAACAAACCTAGGTCACTGGATAATACCACTAGGCCATTGCCTTCCCATAACCTCTAATGTGGCCATTACACCAACAGACTCACTTTGATTTTGATTAAATTGAGCAAAAATTGGCTGTTTCTGGGAGAGAGAGAAAGCGAGACCATTTCTCTGACTATGTTATGGACCCGTTGGAATGAGACAGAGGAAAAGAATTGAAGATATTTTTGAGAGATGGGGTAACATTAGGTGATTCAAACTATCCTAAAATGGACGAGAAATACAAGTAGTTAAACTGGAAGTTCCTATTTGCTTTACCCACGGGGCTATTTTCTGCATCAGTATGTTTCTGTTATGAGAAAGGAAGCATTGCTGAAATTTGCTCTGCGAAATGAAATGGGTCATGTTGTCATTTATGCAATTAACGCGAGTATAAAAGAACAACTGGGAAATCCGGCTCACAGCATAAATAAAATCAATATCAAACAGAAAAGGGTAAGAACTTTCAAAGGTAAAGATGCTGAGACGATGAACAGGAAAAGTTCAATGAGGCAAATTGGCCCAAATTAACATCACAGAAAAGAGACCATAGACAGCAAATGATCACATATGAGATGGATAGAATACTGAACAGATGTATTCTTAAAAATCAGAAAGAGATTGCTTGCATTTCTTGGGATAAAGAAATTAAAACTAGGTGTGAAAAGACAAAGATGGAATATGAAAAGGGAATTGCAAGGCATTTATGAGCCTTGTAACAATGAACAAAACTTTATGAAAGATAGATTTCCCGTTTGCGACTGAGGGGCCTAATTCTGGAGGCTGAAGATCAGGTACAGTGCTCACTGTAATTAAAAGATCGATCAGTGACTTGCAGCATCCATATGCAGACGATTATATCTAAAAATCAGGATGTTGCTGTTTGAGTTGCCCTGATGCTTCAAGGGTTTTCTACATCAGTATATCACCAAAAGAATTTACATAGAAGAACATGCAACAGGAGGAAACTTATCCATGCAACATCCACTAAACAGGCCAGAAATGTGTTTCTCCAAGTGTAAATTCTCATTTCTTCAGATCATAATTGCTGTTGAAGGATCTAAAAAAAAAAATGCTGAACTTTTTTTATTTTTCCTCTCTCTCCCCATACAGATAATAAGAAGTTGAGCGTATAAATAAAATACACACAAAAAATCTTTATTGCCTGCTCCACATGATTTTACACTGGAGAAGAAATTCCAACTTGCACTTTTCAGACTTTGCACAGTTCATGTAGGAACTGAGCCACAATTTATTTAAATTACTGGTAACCCCAAATCAGCACAAGATGTTTAAAAATAAATCATAACAAATCTGAGCAGGAGAGGCATCTAGAGAGATGGTGGTGGTGGGTTTGAGCTGGAGCTGTCAGCCTGCAAATGAAACTTGGTTAATAATTGGTTTCTGGACAACATCACCATGGCAGCAGATGCTGGACTGTGATAGCAAGACAAATAAAACAGCAATCATAATTCACAACATACTTACAGGCAAATCAAAATAAAAATGCGGGATGGCATAATTATAACTATTTAAGTACACAAATAATTCCGTTATGTTGCACGTGCAGGCTATTCAAAAATCCATATGCATTGATATCGTGCACTGAGGTGAACAGGAGGAAATTATATGAAAACATGCCTGCTGCAACCCACAATTCATACTACAGCCTTGACCTATTCCACTGGCCACATTTCAAGCTCCTCTAAGTGAAATATGGAAACCTCAAGTGGAGTGCTGTGTCAAAAGAAACTAAGTAATGGGAAATCTCCACACAATGCAAATGATTTGTGTATACATTCTCTTGGTTAAAATGGAGACTGCACGTTAGAACAACACAATTCTGTATATTTGGTGTGGCTGCGTCCATCTCAACAGAGATTAATTGCACAAAGTGAATTCAGAATAAACACCAACCCACTGAAGGGTCCTGGCAAGGGAAGCAAAAATGTCAAGATTTTCTGGATCAGTCTGTACTTAAAATAAAAAGGCTCATTTGTTATAGAGAAACCAATTTTGCACACACAAATCCCAATGACCTTGAACCAACTGCAATGGGCTACTCTCATTCCACAAACTCCAATTGAAATCAGTGTTTATTACCGTTAATTGTCATGTCAAGTTGGTACTATTTATGGTCTCCCTGGCCTTTGCAATTCCCATTGTAAACTGTACTTTCCTCATTTCAACAAGAAACAATTCTGCCCTAGTGGCGCCGCCCCTCATTGAACTTAAGGCCGGATCAGAGTAGATGTCTGCACATATCCATGTGGCAAAACCTACTCCTCAATAAGCTGAGGGATGTGGAAACAAGAGAAAGATGGCAGAATTACTAGGGCACATACTTCATAGAATCCCTACTGTGTGGAAGCAGGCCACTTGGCC